ATACGCCAAAAGATGTCCCAAAAGTACAAACGAAATGTTGCTCTGAATCCTCTGAACAATTCGCCTATTAGCGTATAGATTTGAATATTTGAGACAGCCCAAATTACAGTGTAAGGTATTGCGAACAACCCTGATGGGATCAGATGCAATCTTTTCTTCCACTGATACACAGTGTCGAAAGTTAATCAAGGCCCATAGCTTTTGAACAGGAACCAAAAAAGGTGATAATAGAATTTCATTGCCATTCCATCTCTGGTCTTGACAGCTGCGGCTCAAGCCGTGTATGTTTGTGTTTGGCAGCTGACAGCGCTACTTCTGCGTGGGGAAATGGGAATGGAACAAATGTCGAAAACTATGGAGTTAGTGCGGCGAGCAGGGCCAGACAACGCAGGGTGGTGGGCCGCCGCCGCTCGACGAGACTTTTTCGTCGCCCTATAAGCCGTACAATTGCTTGCAACCCATATTAATTATCATTGGCATTTTAAACAAATGTTACAACTAGAAGATAACCTTTTCACCCCGCACTGAGAATTTTTTTTCTTGCCGGGCACAAAAAAGTCAGTTCCCGCCACTAAAATGGTTGTTCGTGGAAAAAAAAAAAAAATAGGAGCTCGGCAACAAAACTTTTGTGCCCATGACAAAACTGCACCCAGAAAAATGATTACTTCTTTGAAGTACATATGTACAAAGAGTGACCAAAGATTTTTTTTTTCTTGTTTCCGAGACGATTTTTTCTCTGAAGTAAGAACATTTCCTTAAACGAAAGTTAATATCATCTTGTGTCAAGAGTAAAATTTATCATAGGTCAAAATGTACTTAAATTGGAAAACATTTTTCTGGGTGTGTTTAGTGCGTCCAAACTTTTGGTCTCGGGATAAAATGTTTAGTGCTCAGGACCAAATTTTTTTCTCAGTGCGCAATTCTCTGCATATGAACAGAGTGGTGGATTTTCCTAGTGTGACTATTTTTTTTTTGCTGGGAACCAAAGTTATTTATGTGTTGTTTGGGCAACAAAAAGACGCACGTTTGTCAAATTGAAGAATTTTTTGAAGATTTTTTTTTGTTTGTGTATGGCAACTCTGAATGAAATTTTTCGAGAGTAACTAAAATGGCAAACAAAAGCCCCTGTGTCTTTGTCTCTTTGAGGACGCGTCCACGCGTGTGGATCGAGTGGGGTGTTGGGCGTCCTCTCCCCACGCGCACTCAGTTCGCTTCACCCTTCGCGCTCTGCTGGCGGCTCCGCGGCCGCTGCTGCCTGCTGCTCGAATTGTGTTAAGAGCGCAAAGGAATTCAATTAGGATGCTGCTATTGTGGTGGGAAAGTGACCCACGAGTGCGCTCCTCGCCCGACTGAATTTGGCACGGCACCACCCGCTCGATTCGATTGCCAGAGCGTGCTGTGCTGGCGTTGCGTGTGCGAGTGCGCGCGTGCGCTATCTCTCCCTCCCTCCCTCTCCTGTGTGTGTATGCGCGCGCGCGTGTGTGCAAGGAGACGGGTGGAGACCGCACATTGTCGTTTGCGCCACTAATCGTCAAGGTCAGAGGGGTTGAGTTCCAATTGCGTTACAACCAGATTGTCGTTTGCGGCACTGGTGGAGGAAGGCCGGCGAAAACTGAGGAAAGGAACACGGTAAAAACAAGCCCTGGGAATCCCAGGAGTTTTTTCCGTTTCCCAGGGGAGTTGGAAGAGTCCCAGGAGATCTCCTGGAAATGTCTAATTTTTCCCAGGAGTTGCCCTGGGATTAGGGCAGCCCTGGGAGATATAATGCTATTTCCAGGGCATCCCCTG